TTAATAAGGATCTTTCCGGCAAAGGAAGTGTTCAAATTTCTCTCTATAGCACTGTTCCAAGCTTATAATAGAATAATTTTCATAATATCCTGTGTGGATTCCAATACATTAACCCTTTTTGTTTCACATCGTCAAACTATTAATGCTGATTGTTTTCCTTTATTTACAAATGGCATATGAGTGTATGGAATATTATGTAGCATTAGTGCATCCTGTCAGTGGAGAAACATAGAACTGCAGCTGTTTTGATGAAGATATAGCCTTTTTGAGAAAGTTATACTCCAATTTAACATGGTGCCACAAGGTAAATTTTAAATTCTAGCATCTTCGAATTCAGAAGTTTCTTTTTTAATTAGTTAGGGAACCAGGTTAGGTATTTTGGCTTTCAGTATGGCATATACTTTTGAAGCTTTTTAGGGATCTTTTCTCTAAGGCATTACCTGAGCTGGAATTCAAGGTGTTTCTTTTTAGGTTGCTTTTATTTATTATTTGCAGTTGTTGTGGAATTCTTTTATTGATGAACCCTTATCCTTGCGGATTGTGCTCCATTCTTTGTGATTACAGTTTCTTCTTCATCAAACATCTTCAATAAAATCTAATTGCTTGGTAATCTCTTCTATTTGTCCTTTGTTGGCAACCGAAGAGGGAGCTTGAGTTGGGTTATTATTGAGGAATTCAATGAAAACCTTATATTGCTTGATAATGGGTCAGCGGAAAGAGAGAAAGAGACAATAATTGTAGAATGTTTGGCTCTAACAAAGCTGATCCTCTCTTAAGGGCCTCCTTTGTAATTTCTATCCTCATACTTGATTCTTATTCACTGTGAAGATTGTGAAGATCATAATCCTTACAAATTTACATTGCCCCAAATTGCTACTCTAGCAATTTTGTTTTACCAATAATTGCACAAACAACCAAATGCAGTTATACCTCAGCAAACACTCTTCCAATTAACTTAAACTTGAGATTACTTACACTCAGTTTCAAGCTTCACTTGCAATAACAGGGTCAATTAAAGTTGAGGAGAGGAAGTAGCTGAAAACTTAGTCGGGGCTTTTAAATTAAGTCTCAAAAATTTGGTTGGCTGTAACCTTCTTTAAGTTTCTTAACTTGGATATTTTGTGAGTTCTAAACTGAAATTAAGAGCTGTTGACTGTATTAACTTTAATTTTTTCCCATTCAACCTCCACAGCTAGTCCATCATGGATTATTCTGAAAATTGATTTGACGTGTTGATTCTCAATTCACCCCCGATGCGTTTTGAAACCTAGATTGACACATTCAATCCTAAGCCCTCATCGGGCTAACATGGTTTTTGACATGTTCTTACTCAAATTTGACACAATTGATTCTAACAAGGAAAATTTTGGACCAAAAAGATCTCCTATGGAACTATAGAAGGAATTTTTGTGTGAGAGAGGGGTTCCTAACATCCAAGGGCCAGGACTTATAAATATTGATTGATGTGTTGATTCTCAATTAGATGTGAGTTTGAAACCTAGGTAGAATTTGACATATGGAAATTCTAGCCCTAAAATAAAGCTCCAGAGCTAACTGTTTTGATGTGTTTATTTCTCAAAACTTGACATATTTGATCTAACAAGGAAAAACTATTTGGCACCATAAAGTCTCCTGTGACTTTATTTTAGAAGTACGATTTTGTGTGTGAGAGGGGTTTCATGATTTCCAAGGACCAGGTTCATTTGTGCCACGCAAAGGCCTAGAAATCAATTTGACCATAGAGGATAAAGTACAATTGTAATGAGCATACAATTAAAAATATTTTTTATAGCTCTTGGTGATTTCTTATCCTTGTTATCCACTTGCTTTTGAAAAGAATAAGGAGCTGTTGACTTATCCCCAGCTCAATTTGTTGGGAGGTATACAATGCTTGCAAATTTCATCTTAAACAACACTTGATTTTCTATTCTAGCACATCTAATTACTTATTATCATTTCAAAACAACTTTGGTTTGTTATATATCGACTGGAAAACTTTTGGGTTCAACATCTTTATTTTCCATTTTTATTTTGAAAAATGGAACTATTTCCATGTGAAAACCAGATACTAAAAACAGAGGGGCAGAGATCCTAGAGGAAGGGAATCTAAAAGAAACAAAGGAGGCAAGGCAATCATTACAAACATGGAGAGATTATGATGACTTGATGAATACTTCTCTGAGGAAGAAATCTTGAACAGTAAATTCTGTTGTATTCCATTCAGTCAGGCCATAGCTGAACTTTTTTTCTATGTGTTTCAGGTCTGATAAATTTTTAGGCTTGGGAGTGGCCATGGACCGTAATGCGATTTTTTGTTTCATACCGATGACACGCTGCAACCAATATGAGGTTTGTGTGTCTGTCTTCTCTTCCTGGGTAAAGTGTTTTGCATGTATCCTGGTAATCTTTGTGAAAGGACTGGATGATTAGGACTCATAAAAATTGGAAATTCTTTTGTCCAACTATTGTTTATCCATGATTTTGTAGTATAAGGTCAAATGATTATTCAGCTGGGTTACTTTTTTTTTGCTAAATTATTGTTACAGCGATGTATTGATGATTTATAGTTGCTTAAAACGTAAATGTTTGATGTTTTTTATGCTTTTGAAGTCCTTTTCTTTTTTCTTTCTTTTTATCTTTTACCTTTGTTAATCTCCTCCAATGTTTATTGTTTCTTCTATCCTTTAATCTTTTATCTTGTCAAATTCAAATTTTCAAAAGGTTGAATATTATTGCTTAAGTCAAGGGGTTTTGTTGTTGGTTTGATTCTTCAAAAGTATAACATTAAATCAGTCGTTGATGAAAGAAGAAATGCTAAAAAGGCTTTGTCTTACTAAGTGGTGTGTTGTTGTATACAAATATAATTCTCATTTTCTTTTTTCTTATGATTGATTGCTCGAGACTCCAGTTAATTTTAACATTGAGAAGCTGCAGATGGGCATGCTGGCCCAGTTCCTGAATTCAACCAGACCAGACTACTTCTTTGTTTGAGCTGCTACCATTTCCATATAGTTAGAGCTTATTAATGTTTTGCCTATTAAATGTATTTTTTACAGAATCTAACCAAGGGGGAATAGTTGGTAAGAGAAACCTAAAACAAATTTTGTTGAATGTCCGCAACCTTTTGGCATACCTGTTTCAGAAGTTTTGACGAAATGTTGGATATTCTTTATATTGGCTTCTCCAGGTAAATTAAAATGTATTGTCAGTCAATATTCTCAAGGCAAATTCAATTGTATCCATTATAGACTTTTGTTTCAGCTATGGTTATCATTGATGGAATTCGTCGGGTTCAATTACTTGATTTTTTTAAGTGAGGATGTATTCCGAAAGTGTTTGAGGCATTCTTATTGTCCACTTCTGCTTTATCTCATATTTCTACAAGGTATCTCTGAAATTCTTGGGGTTAAATCATCTTGGCCTAGTTCAGTTATCCTGTTATCAGGCTTGTTTTAGTTTGAATTTAACCAAAATATCAATTTCATTTTTTAAATAGTTTGTCATAATCTTTAATATTTTCTCTTAAATGAAACCATGTTAGGAATTCACTGTACCCGTCCCAAGAATCCGATCCCTTTATTTTCTTTTTTCATTTCATTATCTGTTTGTTTTGTTTTCTATCACACTGCAGAGAGCTCATGTTTATTGGCATTTCTTATTGATTAAGTATTTTAGAAATTACTTTTTTATTTTTCTTTTTTTTTTTTTCCCACTCCGAATGAATCCACTTGAAAAACTCAGCCAATCTGTTTTTATGGCCTTAAAGAAAATCGAATTAAAAAAAGGCCAAGAAAATTGAAAATAACTGAAATAACTAAACTTTAATGTTCGTTGTTCGATTTAATATAATTGTGTATATATTATTTCAGTTGTTAATTTGGTTATTTCATTTTCACTCAATGGTCATATTGTAGCCATTACATTAACTCAACTTCGAGTTTTACTGGAACTAAACTGAATGCACCCCCCCCCTATATCTGACATCAACTAGATTCAATGAGAGCTTTGCATTTATAGTTACTTTCTGCTATTTTATTTTATTGTTTTAACTCTAAACAACAGTTTCTCAAGCATGGTAGCCAGTTATATTTGATTTTGGTGATTGACCCGAGTTGCTTTGTTGGTTGTTTCTTATCTTCTTTGTCATCTGTCTTGCAGCTGCTTTTGGATATAGTTATTAGTCTTAATGCTGGAGGAGTTAAAAGCCACCACAAATTACGAGATATCTTTCTGAAGTTTGCGGTTAGCAAGCATGCAGTGGGGCTGTAGTTCTTCCAATTTGGTTATCTTCCAGTTTCTGTGCAGGAATCCAACTGGCCTTCTTGACAATTCTTAACCAATGGGTTAGGGATTTGCAGAATCAGCGTCACTTTATAATTATGCAGTTGCAATTTACTTGCTTACCCAATTTTGTTGGCTGGCTCTTACTGTTTTGCTATCCACCTTTACGGAGAAGAATGGAAGCGTTCAAATTTTCCTGATTATTCATTTATTATGTGGTGGGCTCAGGCAAGCATACTTGATGGTTGCTACTATCTGATTAGACAAACTATTTTTCTGGTTCAGTTGATAATTTTTAAGTTCTGATACTTTTCTTCTTAAAAAATTTTGACCCTGAGGTATCTCTTTATGTGCATTTATTCATTGCTAGCAGCCAAAACTATATGTGGGAAGAGGCGAATGCATGAAGATATTGTTCTCACTTTTATGAGTAAGAATAAATAAAAGTTGCTTTTGTCTGTAATGATGTTTTATAGTTTCAGGGGAATTAAGGGCTTTGTTGTGTTGTTTGTAATTAATGTTTTCCCTTTTATTATTATAATCGGTTCCTTTTTCTTTTTTTCCCCTTTTTTTTTTTTTTTTTTTTTTTTTTGGAAGGGGGAGGGGGGGGCTGTGGGGGGGGGGGGGGGGGCTGTTTGTGATTTGCAACAAGGAAGTTGCTCAATTTGGTGATAGTTTTGGGATGATTTTATGTTTCTAAATTGGGATGTCTAAAATGCATTGATGCTGCTATACTCAGGTTTTTTACTTCCACTAACTTATTTTCATTTTCCCATGCTAGGTATACATTGTTTTGGATCATGCTGCTAATGACCAAGCTAGCATTTAGCTACTATGTTGAGGTTTTTACTCAAATATCTATCTTATTTTGATATCCCCAAGCATACAGCTCTCATGCTAACCTGGGTTCAAAACTTCAGATGCATTATGTCTGCACGCATTGGTACAACCAAAAACAATTTCTACACTAAACTTCAAACATTTTTGTAGTGCACATTTCTAGGTATTTATAACAAATTCAATTAAGTTTATGCAAGTCAGAAGTTGATAAAGAAGGTATCATTTTATGCCATAGAAATTGAAAATTGGCTTATGGAATAGCTCATTTCTTGATAGGTGCTTTATGCATAAATTTTGAATTATGAATTCATTGTAAAATGGGCAATTGAGGATTAGTTCATGCTTGAAGGAACATGAGAAGGAATAGTATTCAAGCCACTAAGTGATATTACATGTTTCCTAAATATATCCTCTTCTGTCCTCAGAAATAAATACCTTACTATGGGCAATTAGAGGTGTGAGTGTTGAACTTTGCTGACACTGAGCTGATGCAATTTAATCTATCTTCAAGTATTTTAGTAAATTCAAATTGGCCGCTGTCTCAATTAAAATTTGTGTAGTATTTTTTTCAATTTTTTTTGGAAACTGTTAAGAATCTAGGCTCTAGAAGCAATTAGTCAAATTCAACTAACAATTCATTTAATAATTGGGCTTACAATGAGTTAGGCTCACCTTTAACTCAAAATAACCAGTTTTGGTTGGTTCACCTTCCCTATTAGCATTTACTCAATTTATATTTATCTGGGGGATTACCTGCATACTTCTACACTCCCCCCTCAAGTGACAATTAGGTCAATTGACAAGTATACGATGGCCCAACACGGGTCCATCAACTTATGACTCAAATGGGAACTTCCCTCATGCAATACAGATTCGAGTCCCAGTTTCTAATACCGTGTTAAGAATCTAGGCCCAAGGAGCAATTAGTCAAATTCAATTAACAATTCATTTAATAATTGAGTTTATAATGAATTGAGTTTACCTTTGACACAAAATGGCCTAAGCCATTTTGGTTAGTTCAACTTCCTCATTGTAAACGAATGTGTAAAATTATTATTGTATATTTTTCATCAATAGGGTCACATATATATACATATACAGGATACTATAAACCTATTAGGAATCTAACTCCTAACAGAACTCTATTTACAACTACCTAAAACAAACTCTATTTACAACTAGTCCCTTAACCACTCCCCCTCAACGTGAGCATAGATGTTAAATCCATGCCCCAACTTGGTTACAAAGATAGTTAACCCGAGGTCCATTTAGAGCTTTTTGTAAAAAGATATCTGCCTAACTGTTTCACTTGTTTTAACATGCCCTGTAAAAGATAACACCCTGTTGTATCTTTTCACGAATGAAATGACATCAATCTCGATTATGTTTTGTCGTTCATGAATACTGGATTGATGCAATAATGAGAGCAGTCTTGATTATCACACCATAACTTTGCGAAGCAAGGACGACTTGAAGCCAATTTTCCTCTAACAATTGGCGAATCCAAATTTGTCTCACAAGTAGATTGTGCCATTAAGCTCGATATTCTGATTCAGCACTCGATTGTGAGACTACATTTTGTTTCTTGCTCCTCCACGATATCAAGTTTCCACCCACAAAGACACAATATCCTGAAGTTGATCTTCTATCAATCTTCGAACTTGCCCAATCCGCATCCGAAAAACACTTAATGTCCAAATGCCCATGATTACTGTAAAGGAGGCCACGACCTGGATCACCTTTCAAGTTGCACAAAATTTGTCCTAAAGCTTCCTAATGAATAACAGTAGGAGAAGACATAAACTGGCTTAAGACGCTCACAGAGTAAGCAATATCTGGACGTATTACTACCGTAAGATTAATTCAGTTTGCTTCACCAATCTTCTATACATCTCAGGATCATCAATAGCTTACCACCAATTGAAAGTTGCAAATAGGGAGTCATTGGAGGTACTGCATGGCTTGGCACCCAACTTTCTAGTTTCCTTTAGTAAGTCAAGGACATACTTCCTTTAAGATAAGAAGATGCCTCTCTTACACCTAGATACTTCTGTACCCAAAAAATACTTTAACAATCCTAAGTCTTTTGTCTGGAACTGAGTCTGGAGGAATGACTTGAGTGATGTAATGCCTGCATAATCACCCCCTGTAATAACAATGTCATCAACATAAACCACAAGTAGAATCAAGCCAGTGTTAGTACTTTTGAAAAATACAGAATGATCAGAAGTACTTTTCTGCATGCCAAATTGGTGAACCACATTGCAAAATCTACCAAACCAAGCTCGAGGACTCTGTTTTAGGCCAGAAAGAGATTTTCGAAGTTTACACACTTTACCCAACTCCCCCTGAGCAACAAAGCCTGGTGGTTGCTCCATGTAAACTTCCTCCTGAAGATCCCCATGAGATCCCGATCCCCATGAAGAAAGGCATTCTTAACATTCAGCTGATGTAAAGGCCAGTCAAAAGTAGCTGCTAAAGAAATAAACAAACGAATAGAAGACAATTTGGCTACAGGAGAAAAAGTATCAAAGTAATCAAGGCTATAAATCTGAAAATAGCCCTTAGCAACTAACGAGCCTTGAGATGAGCAACAGACCCATCAGGATTCACTTCAACGAAGAAAACCCACTTACAACCAATAGCTTTCTTACCTACCGGGAGAGGCACAAGATCCCAAGTACCATTAGTATCTAAGGCAACCATCTCCTCTTTATTGCTGCACACCAACCAGGATGGGACAAAGCTTGGACAACAGTTTTAGGGATAGAGACAGAGTCTAGGTTACTTATAAAACAACGAGATGAAGGAGAAAGATGATCATAACTAACAAAAGAAGAAATGGGATAGGTACACGTGCGTTTACCTTTTTGCAGAGCAATGGGAAGGTCAAGGTCTGATGGAGCAGTGGATGGCAAAGGCTCAGGTTGAGTGGAGGGAACCGGATCTTCTGTTGAAGCGGTAGATAGGGGAAGTGAGTCAAGAGTTCCTGGTCTCCTGGAATAAACCTGTTCAAAATGAGGGCGGACAGATGCTGGTGCGGCAAGCAGATGCTGATGCAGGAGCAGGAATAGGAGCAGCAGATGTTGTAGCAAGAGCAAGTGCAAGTTCAGAAATAGGAGCAGGAGCAGGAGAGTTAGGAATTTGCTGGATAGAGTAGACTAAAAGTTCATCATCCTCCCCCACTCTTATATATAGGAGGAAAAAATAGAGTACTTTCAAAAAATGTGACATCCACAGAAACAAGACAACGGTCAAGATTGAGAGAGAAACAATGATATTACTTTTGATGCCGAGAATACCCAAGGAAAATGCAACGAAGGGACTTTGGATCTAATTTGGAAACTGTGGACGAACATCACGAACAAAACAAGTATAACCAAAAATATGAGGTTCAATGGGGAATAGAAGCTTAGAAGGAAACAAGACACTATAAGAAATTTCACCATTAAGCACAGAAGAAGGCATGCGATTAATCAAAAAAACATGCAGTAGAAATAGCATTAGCCCAAAAATGTTGAGGAACCTTCATTTGGAATAGAAGTGCCCTAGCAACCTCAAGAAGATGTTGATTTTTTCTTTCTGCAACCCCATTTTAGGAGTATCAACACAAGATGTTTGATAGAATGAAGAATACCATTCCTGTGACATATAAGATTGGAAGGAACTAGATAGATATCCTTAAGCATTGTCACTTTTGCAATGTTGCGAACAAGAGGTATAAATTGATTTTTAATGCTCAGCGCAAAAAGGAACAAAATAGAGAATATCTTTCAGAACGATTTTTCTTAAAAATAACCAGTAACAGAATTAATAACACTCACAAAGTTTTTACGAAATAATCGAAAGCCTGTTTTAGAAATAACAGGACATGGACCAGCAAACATCAGAATGAACTACTCAAAGGGGATTGAAACCCGTTTATTGACTCGAGGAAACTAAAGGTAAACGATGATGTTTGGCAAATTGGAACAAGATTCACATTCTAAAAAAAAAGAGAATATCTCAAGAACGATTTTTCATTAAAAATAACCACTAACAAGAGAATTAATCCATCCACAAAAGTTACGAAATGATCGGAAAGCCTGTTTTTTAGAAATAACAAGGAACATGGCCCAAAACATCAAAATGAACTAACTCAAGGGGGAATGAACCCCGTTTTTGACTTCGAGAACTAAAGGTAAACGATGATGTTGGCAATTGACAAGAAATTCCACATTCTAAATTGATAAAGACTGAAACTGCGGAACACAACTTCTTTAAAGTAGTCAAAGAAGGATGACCCAACGACAATGAAGCCTCAAGAGGAACCTCAAGAGGAGAGAGCACCAACACAAGCCAGAGATGACGAAACTTATTCATCCAGAAGATAAAGGCCACCAGACTCACGTCCTCTACTAATAATCCGCTTTGTCAAAAGATCCTGAAACACACAATAGGTAGGATAAAATTTAACACAACAATTCAATAGACAAGTAATTTTGCTAACAAATAATAGATTGAACGAAAAACGAGGCAAACAAAAAACAGAAGACAACGGAAGAGATGGGATGGGACTGGCGGTGCCAATACACTTGACAGAAGATGTGGACCCATCAGCTAGAGTAACATGACGATTAAATTGTTCAGGTTCTTTAACTAAGGATAAGAGACTAAGAGAACTAGGTTAACCTGTCATATGACTGTGCAACCAGAATATGACCCACCTCTGGTAGACATAAGACATGTAGTAGGAGTACCTGAATTGGCAGCAGCATCAGCAATTGAGGAATCAGTAGACTTAGAAGAACGGTATCTAGAGAGCTCAGCAAACTCCGCAGCAGAAATTGTTACAGTGTTCTCAGAAGAAGTAATTGCAGAATGTTGAGTGGCCATATTTGCCCTTGGGGGCTTATTTAGCAGTTTCTTACAATACCGTTTAGTGTGACTGGGTTCATGGCAATAATGGCAGATAAGAATGCTTGCCTCCTGATTAATTGGTCCATTACTACGGTTATGTCCTCCTCTTCCTCTGTTTCCTGGCTGTCCCTCTGTTTCTGGCTGTCTAACGGAATTGTATATTGCACAGACACTCACAAGGGCAATCCATTATCAATAAGGAAGGGGAAGGGGTATGAGAACCTTCAGTACATAGTAATCTAGCAAAAGTCTCCTGAAGAGAGGTAATGTCACTGCCTGAAAGAACCTGTGATTTGGCAGTTTCAAAAGTCAGAGCAAGACCTGCAAGAAAACTCATTACAGCCATTTGTTCTCGCCGAGTCTGTTGAACCTTCATATCAGGGCTGAATGGCAATAAAACATTAAGTTCCCTATAAATCTTCTTAAATTCCATGAAATAAGCTGTGAGAGACTTATCTTGCTGGTCGGCCCGACAAAATCTTTTGCAGACCTCATACATACGGGATAGATTACCTTTTCCCGAGTACAAAAATTCAAGATAATCCATCAGTTCCTTAACAAACTCACAATGATTAATTAAAAAAACCAAATTGCCCCTCACTGTCCAATTCGAATTTCCGAAGCTGTAAAATAATCGGAGCATCCCTCTCTAAGCCAGTATTTTGCCTAGCAGCTCCTCAGGTGGATCATTGGTCAAGTGGTCATCTTATCCACTACGAAAAATATATACCGAACCTGTTTTTAACCTCCAACGCTAGAAAATTAAGAGCCAGTTAAGTTTGTGTTCCGTTATTTTATTCAGTAATGGCAAACCACATCAGTGATAACAGATTTTTCGATCGGAAGTCCCCAGTCCCCGGTGGAGTAGTCGTCATGATTTGTGATGAAAAGCTCAAAACAAATGTAGCACAGCAATGGGAAACTACGATTCTTGGTAACTTGATAGCAGAATTGCAAAGAGACAGCAGCACAATATAAATTAAAAAATCAGAATGGACGCTCCCTCACGCGCCGGCGCGTGAAGAAGGACAGAAAATTGGAGTGGCGCGTGAAGCCCACTCGCGCGGATTCCGGTGACCGGATTTGGAGGGAGAGCCGATCGGCGGCCTGTCCTTCTTCCTTGGGTGGTGGTGAGATAGAAAGACCAGCCTATATGGGTGACTTAGACTGGCAGTCACCAAAAATTACACTCTGCCTGTAGTTTCAACGCTAAATAGAGCAGAGAAAGAAAAAAAAATAACGAGCCCAGGGGGCTCTGATACCATGTAAACGAATGTGTAAAATTATTATTATATATTTTTCATCAATAGGGTCACATATATATACATAATAGGGTCACATATATATACATATACAGGATACTATAAACCTATTAGGAATCTAACTCCTAACAGAACTCTATTTACAACTAGTCCTTAACACCCATCATATGCCATTTACTCAATTTATATTTATCCAATGTGGGAGTACCCACATACTTTTACAGAAACTCTTTATTCGCACACTAATTTAACAGGAAACATAATTAAACAAACTAGTAAATTCTGATAGGTTCCTAATAAACAGACAGCTTTAATTCTTTTTAGCCATGCCTTGGATGCGTTAGATTCCTATTTATTTTCATGTAGAATGCTTATTTTCTTGTAGTATTTCTCATATATATGTTATTAACTAGTAATTTACATATTCTGTCATTAGATACTTCCTTTGGTTGGGCCAACGAAGTTGATCATGGATATGCATATTGATAATTATCAATGGCATGAGTTCTTTCCAAATGGTAATATTTCATTTTTGTGACTTTCTTTCCTTTTGTGTCGTGTCTATAACTGCACCAAGCTTATGTTTTGAAACTTCTGTAGTTACGCATAACATCGATGTTGTTATTGCTATATGGGCTCCAATTGTGCTGGTAAGTGTACTGCATGACATTGTGACATTTGAAAATTCTCTGACTTATGCTTTGGTAATGATAGTATCTCTTGTATTAGGTTTATTTTATGGATGGACAAATATGGTACTCCATCTTTTCTACTCTTTTTGGTGGGATTCATGGAGCCTTCAGCCATTTGGGTGAGGTAATTGGCTGTTTTGTTGCTCCTACAATTAAATAGCAAATATAATCTCTTGTATTTATCCTGAGGTTTTATTTATAATATATTGTACAAATATCATTGATCAGGGTTTCAATCGTCCTAATAGCACTAAACTTTTTGCAATGCCCAGATACGAACACTTGGAATGTTACGGTCTAGATTTGAATCTGTGCCTTCAGCTTTCAGTCGCCGTCTTGTCCCATCATCAAATGATGATACTGATAGGAAATACTTGGCGGTAGCAATTCTAACTGATACACCTGTTTGATCTTTGTTTTCTTTGGCGGTAGCAATTCTAACTGATACACCTGTTTGATCTTTGTTTTCTTTAGTTTTATTATATGTTCCAGGTGCAGCTACATTTTATATAGAAAATATATATATATATTCGGGAAATTTTTTTAGTTTTCTTTGTCTATTTTATTTAGCACTTGATTAGAATATTTTTGTTTTGTTGCCTAAGTAGCATTTCTTGATGGCAGGATGCGTCCATTGAAAGAAAAAATATTGTAAACTTTTCTCTGGTGTGGAATGAGTTCATCAATTCTATGAGAAATGAGGATTTAATCAGCAACCAGTTGAGACCTTTACACAAAATTTCTTCAATATGTATGATGTATCATACTTTCTGTTCCTAATAGTTTTTGTTCTTACTTTGCAGTGAAAGAGACTTGCTTCTTGTACCTTATTCTTCAAGTGATGTGTCTGTTGTCCAGTGGCCTCCTTTTTTGCTTGCTAGCAAGGTGAAACTGAAACTGTAACCCATTATTAATGTTAATTTTATTACTCAACACAAATCATGTATAACTTATTCCTTGTTTGGTTGACATGTTAGATTCCAATAGCATTGGACATGGCAAAAGATTTCAAGGGAAAGGAAGATGCTCACTTATATAAGAAGATGACTTATATAAGAAGATGGATGACTATATGCATTCGGCAGTAACTGAGGCCTACGAATCATTGAGAGACATAATATATGGCCTTCTGGAAGATGATGCTGATAGGGAGTAAGGGGCCTTTATCTTATAAGCTTCACACCTATTAAGAGCCTGTGATGCAACCTGGGGATACCTGATTGTCAAAAATTTAAAAAAAAAAAAAAAAATGCTGTCATAATTTTTTTCCCTCCATAGAAGCCTCATAACAGTTCTTTCTGTTTTTGCTTGCTTTCTCTGCTTTTCTTCTTAAATAGGATTGTAAGACAGATTTGTTATGAAGTGGATAGGAGCATACGACAACATAGATTTTTGAATGAATTCCGAATGAGTGGCTTGCCTATGCTCAGTGAAAAAAAAAGTTAGAGAAGTTCTAAAAGTTTGGTAGAATGCTTTCTTTGGTTTTTGGTTCCTTTTTTCCTTTTCATGTTTCTTGTATTTCTAATTCAATGAACTTATCTGTATTCTAATTCAATGAACTTATCATCATGGTCATTATCAGATTTATCACTCATGCTAGTAATATGTTGACAGCCATCTGGTTATGAAGATGTTGATGCGTACAGATCTCAAATAATAAATGTTCTCCAGGATATTATAGAAATTATTACTCAGGATATCATGATTCATGGTCATGAGTAAGTTCTGAAAAATTTCAAATATGCTGTGGATGTGAAAATTGGTTTCAGTATCTTGCTAGAATAACCGTCATAATTATATTGTTTTCTGTGTTTTCTGTTGCGGCAGAATCCTAGGAGCCCATCCTACCACTATAAATGATCATAATAGCAAGAAAGGGCAGAGGTTTGAAAAGATAAATTTTGGCCTTACACAAAACAAATCTTGGAGGGAGAAGGTAGTCTTGATACTCAATTATGGCCGATATCACCTTGTCATTTTGTATGCAAATCCTATGTTAATCACATATACATCTCTACCAAGGTTGTTCGGCTTCATTTGCTTTTGATCACAAAGGAATCTGCTATAAATGTACCTTCAAACTTGGATGCTCGCCGCCGTATCACTTTCTTTGCAAATTCCTTATTTATGAACATGCCAACAGCTCCAAAAGTTCGAGACATGCTCTCCTTTAGGTCAGTGATTACAAAATCATTCTTTTAGGGTGATGACATTATAGATTGTCAAATGGAAATAGATGACACATCGATAACATTGATAGTGGGTTATAGCTGCAATATTTTCAAAAGGGAAAAGATGATATATGAAAATTATGTTCTGGTATGTTTACAATTAGCCATTTGCTTTGTAATATATATATGTTACATAATTGGATTACATGCTTCCATACAGAGATTGTCCATTGGCCAGAAAACAGATGGTTACTTATTTTTCAATTTTTTTTCTGACACTAAAGCATTTTATGATATATGGCTAGTGTTCTGACTCCATATTACAAAGAAGATGTTCTATATTCTGATGATGATCTTCACAAGGAAAATGAGGATGGCATAACAATGTTGTTCTACCTTAAGACAATATATCGTGGTAAGTTGAAGATCCATTGCTGCATCATTGCTCTTTTATTTTTCTCCTAGGTTCAGCTTACTAACGCCCCAACTTCCAGATGAATGGAAAAATTTTGAGGAACGAATGAATGATTATGAACTTAATTACTCTGCGAAAGAAAAAGCAGAGTGTCTTCGTCAGTGGGTATCCTACAGGGGGCAGACTCTTGCTAGAACAGGTTTGAGTAGTTTTTATTTATGCCCTATCTTGACTTGGTTTCATGTTCGTTCTGCATCTCACTTAACTAATATCATCTATCTATTTATTTCCACCAGTGAGGGGAATGATGTACTACAAGAAAGCTCTAGAAGTTCAATGCTCCCTGGAATTCACAGGTGACAATGGTTTGTGATTTTGCACAGATATTTTGATGCAATAATGAATATCAGGGGTTTGACTATGTTACATTCTCTGTATAATAACCTAGATGGGGTTTGACTATGTTACATTCTCTGTATAATAACCTAGATGGTATTTTTGTGGGCAGCAAGCCACACTAAGGAATCAAGTGAAACCTATCAGTTTCATCAGAAGACTTTTCTTGATCATGCACAAGCTCTGGCTGATTTGAAGTTTACTTATGTTGTTTCATGTCAAGTTTATGGGACCCAGAAAAAATCTGCTGATGCTCGAGATCGAAGTTGTTACAGTAATATTCTTAATCTCATGTTAACGTAAGTCAAAATCACTTTTGCATTTCGTTTAAGCAGTTCTTTGCTCAAATCTGAAAGTTTGATGGTATCTTTAATTTTGCAAATTTGCTTTAGGTATCCATCACTACGAGTTGCTTACATAGATGAAAGAGAGGAGACAGTGAATGGAAAATCTGAGAAGGTTCACTACTCTGTTCTCGTCAAAGGATGTGATAAGTTGGATGAGGTATGGAAACTAACTCCTCTTTCATGCGGAATTTGTTTGCTTCACATTTTATCTGTTAAAGTTTAATAGTTTTCGGTGGCAACTTCCAGTTATATGTATCAATATCAATTGATACTATAAGTTAAGCATTGGGGTGAATTTTAACATTTTTCTTTGAAAAAACACCTGTGGAATGATATAATTGATAGATCTTTGATTCACTATCTTTGAGTGTGAACAATGGCAAAGAAAAAATTAAAAAAATTAAAAAAAAAAAAAAAAAATTGCTTCTTAAGTGTGAATTTTGTTGAGCAATATGCACAAGTTCATTAGTGCTATGGGTGATTCATTTTTCCTACTTTCTAATTGAAATCTACAATTTATTTGTCTCTGTAAATGAGGAAGCAGAGATACATTAATTGAATCAAGTTTTTTCTTTTCTTCCCTTTTCTCTGTTGGAAAAACAAGAAATAACTTGTGTGGGTTGTAGGTTTCTAAGGCCATGTTCGGCAATATTTGCTGTTGTAATAGCTGTTTTACTAGCTATTGACTATTAGATATTAACTATTTGTAGTCAGCTGTTAATATATTGGTTTAAAGTAGAAGTTGTTTAGTAAAAATAGATGTTCGATTAGCTGTTAAACGTAAAATAAATTTAAAAAAGTCAATTAATTTTGTTAAAATGTTTCATAAATTTGTTAAAATGTTTCATAAAACACTCCCTCGCAATCTCTAAACGCTATTATAAATATTATGTTATCGAATAATATAATTAACAAAGTTAGTGTCTTGATCCTAGCTAAAGTGTTAAATGCTACCTTAAAAGTTGTTGCTAACAGAGCCTAACATCTAATTTTTGGAAACGAAAAGGTTTTGTACCTTAAACATTTTTTTTTTAATATTTTTTTTTTTATATAAAAGGAAGCATAAGCTAATTTTGAAAGGCTGCTCAACCTGGCAGGCAATTGGCACTAACCTTTATTATTCTTATCTGAAAAGAAACTTTATTAAGAAAGGAGGGATATCATATCATGGAGGGTAAGGTATCCTCTTGTGCCATCGAACTCAACAGGAAGCAACAAATTAAAATTAGATTAACAAAGCAGATCTCTACAATTCAAGCTGATAACTATAAATGATGTTCCCTGGAACTACATGCCCAGAAAAGCCAATATATATATTATATCACTCAAGGAGGAAAAAAAGAAAAAGAAATGGAGAGGGCAAGCCTGTTCTCCTGAACTGCATTATGTTCAGTATCAGAAGTTTGAATTCTTATTTGTTTTAAAGATGGTGCAGTGGTGACAAGGTTATATTGGAATACATTTTCCAAGCGTGTCAATCAATATTCCTGCTAACACCTTGATTTATCTTTGATTTTTACTGGATTTTTAATCAGGTTTGTAAATTTTTTTGATTATTTGTAAGGTTAAGCGCAATGATGCTTACCTATCCTTTATTGCTTATTTTGTTGGACGGGTGAATAAATCACTGCTCTAAGGGAGATTTATTCTTTGAAATGTCTGCGTTGTTGTTTATTATTTTATTTTACTCCATTGACTGGGACCATTTTAAGTGGTTTAAAATCTAATTTATAGAAGAGCATCAGCTAATAGATGAGAAGCACTGGCAAATCATTGAGGATGTACGGTAGGACTCCTATATTCTTTCATGATGCATTGTCATTACTGTCATGGAAGGTTGTTTCTTTATGGGATTGTCGGTGTTGTGAAATTCCCATTCAGATTTTTCTTTTTTCAGGTGGTGATTGCATTGACCCAATTTGTTCTTTCTGGATTCTTGATTATATTCTCTTTTATATTGGGAGTGAAGTGATGGAATAACTACAGAAAATTGAGAGAGATGTCAGTGAGTGGTATAGGAGATACATTTAGATACCTAGTGGATTCTGAGAAATGGTTAATCTGAGAGAGATGTCAGTGAGTGGTATAGGAGATACATTTAGATACCTAGTGGATTCTGAGAAATGGTTAATCATGCTTTACTTGTTGAAAATTTGTGAAATTATAAATAAATGGTTAAGAGATCTTGAATTGCAACTTGTTTGCATAAGCTCAAATAGATTTTAAAGATATATTCAAGTAGATAGTGTATACATTAAACTTGTAACTCGTATGAATAATCATCTATTTCAGTATATTGAATCAATGACAAGAATATATATACAAGTAATCCCTATACTATTTAGGAAAACAAATCCTAGTCTAATAGAGGAAATCCCTAGGAGCATGGGTATATACATAACTCTATATATACTTCCCTTAACAAAACCCAAACTTTGTTAGATACCTGAATTTGTTACATTGTTATGAGGATCCATAGAGAACTCTATTTGATTGTATTTATGAGCTCTCCAAATTATAGTAATTTCTAGCTGATCTTGAATCCTAATGTACTTTAGGCATAGACTTGGGTTAGCAATCTGCAACAATCCCCTGGCCTCTAAAAATTACCAATGGCTGAATTTTGATAATTTGGCAGTCAGTTGATTGGAATTTTTTTTCTAACTCTAACCCAGATGCATCTCCAAATTTTAGGAAAAAAATTGTGATTTAGTTGACTGTCGATTGCTATCATTTGCAAGTTGCTTTGTATTTCTTGTGTAAATCCGAAAACCTCATCTTATTGTGGAGTATTTACATGGCTAGGAAATTTACCGAATCAAGCTCCCAGGTCCACCAACTGAAATTGGTGAAGGGAAACCTGAAAATCAAAATCATGCCATTATTTTCACTCGTGGAGAAGCCCTTCAGACTATAGACATGAATCAGGTAGCTTCCACTCTTTTTCTTTTTTCCTTTTCTTCTTAAATTGTGTTAGAAAGAAATTCATTGGGCTTGATTTTGTTTGCAGGATAATTACTTTGAAGAAGCTTTTAAAATGAGAAATGTGTTGGAAGAATTTATAAAATCTCGTCGTGGGCCACGAAAACCTACAATTTTAGGTCTAAGGGAGCACATATTTACTGGAAGGTCAGCCTATTTTTGAAATAAAGAAAGTATTTTTTTCACACTTTTGCGCTTTTATGGCTAGTTATCGCTAGATAACGTGATTCAGCACGTAAAATTAAACTTTTTAACACTTTAGTTTGAAGTTATTTGATAACTTCTATCTACATATTATTAAAGTTGTAATTCAGTTAAAGTACTCTAGATCAGTAGGTAAAAGATTTTTTTAACTTAAAATTTTACAAATTGAATCTGCTCAGTATCAGGCTTTTAAACAACTTTGAATGTGCTCAGCATCTTAACTTTCTTCGTGTAAAGCCTCATAAAATTGGTCCTTCGATTGTATGAGTAAAAAAAAATCAGACAAAAAAACTTCCAACCATTCTAAATATACAAATGAAATAAGGCCTCGCAAAATATAAACTATTGCTAATTCAAATAAATTATAATCCCATCTTACTAAGAATAAATAATATAATAAACATCCTTATGAGCATGCTAATCCATTTAAAACAAAATAAACCATAACAAAAACATAGGTCTAAATTCTAAGCATTTGCCTGAGTGAGTGGTTAGTGATTCATTGATAGTTGATATGTCATGACTGTAAGCTGATATCTTGTTGAATATTATTTTTGACATTACTAAATTTGTTATGGTGAATTACTAGAGCTTTTTAGTGTCAAAACAACTACAGTGTGATAGGAAAATGATCCAAATGGAGTTAATTAAATATTAGAAGGTATGCATTTAGCTAATAAAAGTTGATTTTTATGTATTACCAAATAGGTTTACTTAGCTACTGAGGTAGCAAATAGCTATTTCCTGCCCTCAGCTACTGAGGTAGCAAATAGCTTTATTTTTCCTGCCCTCGACAAACAAAACTAACCCCCACATATTTTATATTTTATTTTGTATAAAAGAACTTTATTTATATTTGCGTATTGTTTTTATTTAACAAGCGAATATTTTTGAATCTTTTCAGGTTTAGGAATCCATTATAATATATAGAATTATTTATTTTTAATTTTTTATTATATTTGGAGAAAAGCCAGATGAACTTGAAAACCAAGTTTGAGAATTTGATGTATTGTTGATTTAATTAGTACCCAAATAATGCCTGCCCTTTGAAGTTAGCATGCATGCTTATTTCTTTTCTTTTCATTTCACAGTGTTTCATCATTAGCTTGGTTCATGTCCAATCAAGAAACCAGCTTTGTAACTATTGGCCAACGTATTTTGGCTAATCCATTGAGGTAAACTCACTAATGATTGGGATGTACATTTGGATTGATCCTTCCTCTTGTTAGAATTTTTTTTTTTTTTACTGTTTCTTTCCTATTGTTTCTTCTTGATTATAATTTTCAAATATGAGAACATGATTGTGAACTCCTACAAGCAGATGTTTATCACTTTAGGGGAGAAAAATGAAAATAAAAAATTGCTCTTGGGAAATCAAGTCTCATTTTATGCTCTCAACTTTGGATCCAACTATCAAATATATTGTTCTTTTTTTGTTACATTACTGTTAAGGATTAGTTGTAAATAGAACTCTGTTAGGAGTTAGATTCCTAATAGGTTTAGATTCCTAATAGGTTTATAATATCTTGTATGTGTGTATATATATGTGTGTCCCTGTTGATGAAATATAATAAAGAAAATATTTTTCCACAATAAACTCACATGGTATCAGAGCCTTTGGCTCGTTAAACCTTTTTTTTTTTTTCCGTTTGCGTTGAAATTCCAGCGGCTGTTAGTCTCGGTGACAGTTCTAGGGTCACCGTTTTGTCTCACCGCCTACCTCAGAAGGTTCCCCATCTGCCGATCGGTGTTCCGTCCAAATCCGGTCACCGGATTCCCTGCGCGTGGGCCCCACGCGCCGCTTTTGTTTTCTGCTACAGTACCATGCGCCGGCGCGTCTGGCTGTTTCCGGCGATCGGAAATAGTTCTTTGGCTTCGTTTCAACTTCAGCAATCTACTTAGGTGGTTGTTTTTCCAACCCGGCGAAGTTTTGGTAGGGGCGTTCTCAGTTTTTTGTCAATTTGGCGTATCAGGTTACTGTTTGCTTTTGAAAGGCTATTTTTTTTTTGGTATCTCTTTCTGCGTTGCTGGTTGGGTGTTCAGTTTTTATTAATCATTGATCTTGAATCTACAGATTCTAAAACTACTATTACTGAATTGATCCCAGCAATGAATAAAGTCACAGAAAATAAATTAAAAGGACCTAATTATTTAGATTGGAGTAAGACAATTAGAATTTATTTGCGGAGTATTGAAAAAGATGATCATCTAATTGATGATCCACAATTCACCAACTGTGAACCAGACACGACGTGGCTCAGGGAAAGATGCTAAGTATTTCTATTGATTTTGAATTCCTTTGGACAGTTGAAGTTGGTTTGGGTAATTAATCATTTGTGGAGTTTGTTAAAGATTAATGGGATAACTCTTGAAATTCTTGTACTCTGGAAAAGTAATCTGTCTCGTAAATGTAAGGTCTGCAAAGGATTTTAATCGAGCCGACCCAGCAAGAATAAGCCCTTACAAGCCTATTTCGGGATGGAATTTAAGAAGATTTTATGAGGAACTTAATGTTAAGTTGCCTTTTAGTCCCGATGTTAAGGTTCAACAGACCCAGCGAGAACAAATGGCTTGTGATGGAGTTTTCTTGCAGAGATTACAGCTATTAAATACCAGAATTATAGCAAATTAGTAAAGATATATACAATAATTACAGATGATATTGACTCACTATACAGCTGTTATTGACACTGAGGGCTCTCATACCCCTTCCCCTTCTGATAATAGTGCCCTTGTGAGTCGTAATCAGGTATCTCGGCAGCCAGGAAACAGAGAACGAGGAGGAAATAATCGTAGTAATGGACCAATTACTCAAGAGGCAAGTATTCTTATCTGCCATTATTGCCATGAACCCGGTCACACTAAACGGTATTGCAAGAAACTGATTAATAAGCCACCAAGGGTAAATATGGCCACTCAAGATTCTGCAGTTACTTCTTCTGATAACACTGTAACAATTTCTGCTACGGAGTATGCTGAGCTCTCTCTGAGCTCCTCTAGATACCGTTCTTTCTAAGATTGCTCTCTCTCTCTGCTGCCAATTCAGGTACTCCTGGCATGTCTTATGTCTACCTCATCAAGGGTTGCGGTCATTGATTTCTGGTTGCACAGATTTCACGCATGACAGGTAACCCTAGTCTCTTATCCTCATTAAAAGAACCTAAACATTTTACATCGTCATGTTACTCTAGCTGATGGGTTCCACATCTTCTGTCACGTGTATTGCACTTTGCCAATCCCATTCCATCTCTCCATTGTCTTCTGTTTTTTGCCTTGCCTCGTTTTTCGTTTAATCTACTTTGGTTAGCAAAATTACTCGTATACTAATTGTTGTGTTAAATTTATCCTACATATTTGTGTTGTTTCAGGATCTTTTTGACGAAGCGGATTATTGTAGAGGGACGTGAGTCTGGTGGCCTTTATCTTCTGATGAACAAGTTTCGTTTATCTCTGGGCTTGTGCTGGTGCGTCTATCTCCTCTTAGGCTTCATTGCCGTTTGGGTATTCCTTTCATTGTCTACTTTTTAAAGAAGTGTCCGCAGTTCCCCAGTCTCTTTTGTCAATTTTAGAATGTTGAATCTTGTCAAATTTGCCAACATCATAGTTTACCTTTTAGTTCTAGAGTTAAATCAACGGGTTTCGATCCCCTTTTGACGTAGTTCATTCTGATGTTTGGTGTCCATGGTCCGTATATTTCTAAAACTGGCTTGTTCGTTTATTTTGTGACTTTTGTGGATGATTATTCTTTGTGTTTCTTGTTATTTTTTTTAATTGAAAACTCATTCCGAGATATCTCTAATTTTTTGTTCCTTTTGTGCTTGAAAATTAAAAACTCCAATTTAATACTTTTGTCGCATATCACCCAAGTGATTAATGCTAAAGAATATCTATCTCTAGTTTCTTTCCCGATCTTATATGTCACAGAATGGTTATTCCTCAATCAAACATCTTGTTGATACTTCCTTCTCAAAATGGGGTTGCCCAGAACGAAAAAATCGACATCTTTTCTTTGAGCGTTTGCTAGGGGTTGCTAGGGCACTTCTATTCCAAATAAAGGTCCCTAAACATTTTTGGGCTGATGCCGTCTCTACTGCATGTTTTTTGATTAATTGCATGCCTTCTTCTGTTCTTAATGGTGAAATTCCTTATAATGTCTTGTTTCTTTCGAAGCTTCTGTTTCCCATTGAACCTCGTATTTTTGGTTGTACTTGTGATGTTCGTCCACAGGTTTCCAAATTAGATCCAAAGTCCCTTCGCTATGTTTTCCTTGGGTATTCTCGGCGTCATTGGGTATTCTCGGCGTCAAAAAGGTTATCGTTGTTTCTCTCCCGATCTTGATCGTTATATTATTTCTGTAGATGTCACATTTTTTGAGAATACTCCATTTTTTCCTTCTTCTTTAGATAAGAGTGAGGGGGAGGATGATGAGTTTTAGTTTATGCTATCCAGCAATTTCATAACTCTCATGCTCCTGCTCCTATTCCCGAACTTGTACCAGCTCCTGCACCAGCATTTGCTCGCCCTCGTTTTGAACATGTTTATTCCAGGAGACGAGAAACTCTTGACTCACTTCCTGCACCTGCCGCTTCAACAGAAGATCCGGTTCACTCCACTCAACCTGAGCCTGTGCCATCCACTCCCCAGTCAGACCTTGACGTCCAGGACCTTGACCTTCCCATTCGCTCTTCGAAAAGGTACTTCGAAAAGGTAAACGCAAGTGTACCTATCCTATTTCCTCTTTTGTCAGTTATGATCATCTTTCTTCTTCATCTCGTTGTTTTGTAAGTAACCTAAACTCTGTCTCTATACCTAAAACTATTGTCCAAGCTTTGTCTCATCCTAGTTGGTGTGCAGCAATGAAAGAGGAGATGGCTGCCTTAGATTCTAATGGTACTTGGAATCTTGTGCTTCTCCCGGCAGGTAAGAAAGCTATTGGTTATAAGTGGATTTTCTCCGTTAAAGTGAATCCTGATGGGTCTGTTGCTCGTCTCAAGGCTCGCTCGATTAGTTGCAAAGGGCTATTCCAGATTTATGGCCTTGAATTATTCTGATACTTTTTTCTCCCCCGTCGCAAAATTGTTTCTGTTTCGTGTTGTTTATTTCTCGTTTATTTATTTCTTTAGCAGCTACTTTTGCATGGCCTTTACATCAGCTGGACATTAAGAAGGCCTTTCTTCATGGGGATCTTCAGGAGAAAGTTTACATGGAGCAACCACCAGGCTTTGTTGCTCAGGGGGAATCGGGTAAAGTGTGTAAACTTCGAAAGTCTCTTTATGGCCTAAAACAGAGTCCTCAAGCTTGGTTTGGTAAATTTGGCAATGTGGTACATCAATTTGGCATGCAGAAGAGTACTTCTGATCATTCTGTATTTTTCAGGAGTACTAAGACTGGTTTGATTCTACTTGTGGTTTATGTTGATGACATTGTTATTACAAGGAGTGATTCATCCGACATCACATCACTCAAGTCATTTCTCCAAACTCAATTCCAGACAAAAGACTTAGAATTGTAAAAGACTTAGGATTGCTGAAGTATTTTTTGGGTATTGAAGTGTCTAGGTGTAAGAGAGGCATCTTTTTATCTCAAAGGAAGTATGTCCTTGATTTACTAAAGGAAACTGGAAAGTTGGGTGCTAAGCCTTGCAGTGCTCCAATGACTCCTAATTTGCAAC